ACATCCACAGTGCAATACGTTTGAAAATAGAGAATGTGACTGTTTTTATTAAGAGATATTGCTGATGCACGCTCCTGAATTGAATAAATAAGAATATGCTTATCAGAGTGGGTAGGGTGTTTCATCTGTTTGAATTCAGTGAGCTGTAGAAATGGTACACCTACCCGCAAGCGGAAGTAGAGTTAGTTGAGAGATATGCTGTGGGACGGCTACAATATCACTGACAGAGGGAACATGCCTCTCTGGAGTCCATAATCATATTTCACTGTGGAATGTGGCCATTTTGATATGATGTAAGTCTGTTTTGTGCTCCTAGGCAGAAAACGGGCTCCATTGTTTTAAAGGTTTCTCAAGGCGGTCACACTTTATGATGCAGAAAGCTTAAATCTCATTACCTTTAAGTGCTGTAATGTTAACACACAAATCGGCACTGCCTATGCTGTGTGTGAAGCACAACGCACCCAGAACTAAAGTGGCCTAACTTTATTCCACCAGGGCAAGAGCCAGGGCCCATGCAGGCCTCCCAGGGGTTTAAATTAGTTACACCCCTGTCTCTCTGTGGCCTCTGAAACCCCCTCACTTCTACTGCATAGGGTTACACCATGTCTCTAGTGGCAGGGCTTACTTAAAGCCCAACCCACATACTGTACCAAGACATGAGCTATCTTTGAAAATAACCTTGAGAAAGTAGGGCTGGAGGGGAGGGGTTTAGTACACTTGTCTCCTCTATAATAAGACTACATGATTTGGCCTCTCCAGAGAACCTGTCACAGAGCAGTTGATGCTGAATGCTGCCTTCTAAAACTATTGGAAGACCAACAATGCATTTAATGGTTTGGCTTAACGCAGTGCAGTTATGTAAGCTCTGTGTTAAACAAAACTGAAAATGTGTGGGTGACAATGAAAAAGTACATAACCAAGCACCTTATTAGCCAGATGAATATGGCATATCTTTGTGTTACACTGTACTGAATGCTCTGCCTTCAAGAGGAGAAATGTTTTCAAGAGAAGCTTTTTAATAGGCCTACAGGGGATCTTTGTTTATTTTTAATTATTGTATATAAGTCACTGACCAAAGTTTCAGTTGCCTTAGAAAGCCAGGAAATGACTCTGAGATTGTGTGTACCGTGTTAGATAGTTGAATGTGTCTACACTTTATATGGCGTCCACATATGAACACAAATACAGTACATACTCCTCCCAATGAATACTAATGTCCCCCCCTAACATCCCTCTATACACACTTTCTTCTGTCTGCCAGAGCTGCCCCGTGGCCAGAACTACTGTCAGCTCTGTAACGCCTGCCATGAAATATTCACTATACCATGAGTCATGTTCAGACTGCAGGGAGAGCTATGCTTGACTATCCTGTTCCCCGATCAGACCTGGCTAAGAGAAGTTGCTGTTCACTTTGATCCTTTGCTGGGCCTCTTGACTAAAGGCTGTCTCTCCCCATGCCAAACTGGATCCATATACACGACACTTTTTCTGTCATACTATGCTGACCTCATCTATCTGTCATTCTTCAACGCTCTTACCCTGTGTGAGATAAGTCCAGAGAAAACCAAAGAAAAAATACTGTAGACAGCAAACAAGAGAGAAGGAAAACAGAATAACAGCTTCAAGCACCTTTTCTTTCATGGAAGCCACGGTGTATTAGCCCTGATATCTTGTTTATGTACAACTCATCTTGTTGTCACTGTGAACATTTGCTAAAGAGGTGCCCAAGGAGCTGTTGATGATTAGTGTACTGTAAGAGTACGTACAATGTGTGAGAGGCGTGATGTTGGATCGGGGTCTTGATTGTAAAGAGACCATAAATTAACAGAAACAAAGAATATCATCCCCCTCAGCAGCAGTGATTAATCTCACTTTGGGCTTTTAACTCTGAAGCCGGGTAGCAGGATGTTTCTATGTCAGGCGGCATTTGCCCGGCCATTCATTCATTAGAGAGCCCTAAAGAACATCCACGGACACCTCAATTGCTGCTAAAAAAAAATGTCTCTTATGTTTCGCTGCTCATTAAATCTAGTACCAGGCGGCACTTGAGCTGTACATATTTGCCATTCACAGCGGAATCCTTGTATAGACAAACACAAGCTGTTTTTGATTGACAGTGCAGTTTAATTTTCTTTTTAGTAGTGGACCATATGTGCCACTGATTCTCATAAGTCCTTAATACTCACTGCACACTCTTGAGGCACAAACCAGAGTAACAGTTCATTTACTATTGAAAGGCATTTGCTCTACCTGCAGAGGAAACAATGTGGAGTCTCTGGTATCAGACACTACAACTACATAATTAGGCCTTACACATCTGCTCTTCTACTTGTTATGTAGAAAACTATGTCCTATTTTCTCAGACCAAAAAAGGTTTAGATCCTCAAGGCTTTCCTCAAAACCAGAAGCCAACTGCCAAAAAAGCCAGGCTTTGGTTTTGTCCCACCTTAAGTCAGGGTAGTTGTTAGTCTGTATGACCTGCTTAAAGTATTAATAGGCCACAGTTTATCCATCCTAACTAAAAGTTTTCTGTGTGTTGTACCTTTAAAACAATGTGAGGTGATAGTCCTCCAAGGACAAACAGGGCTGCCTGGAGGCGTCACAAACAGTACATTTGTTGTCCAAAATAGTAGACTAATGAGATATATTGAGGCTAGAGTCAAGTGTCCTTCCGTGTCTGATACGAGAACATGTCCTCTGCCTTGCCAGTCCCTATCGGTGAACAGGTTAAGGTTCCCAAACTGATCAATAGAAGTGTGTCTGTGGATAAGCACTTATGTGAATTAGTACACTTTCTCAGTTGGCACCACTAATCTGGTCTGTTGTTGTTATTTCTGCAGTTGTAGAGGGCCATGAAACTGCCATTTCTTTTGTAAATACCAGTAGTCTTCTGTTTTTCACCCTAGATTGTTGGGAAAGAAAAGCTTTTTTTAGAAATGACAAGAACTGTTCAGCTGCCTTGAAAGACAAACTTTTAAAGAACGTTATGTCCTTGCTTTTTTTTTGCTTTTCTTTTACCCACTAGACATATTCTGTACTTGTGACTGAATGAATGAGTGGTTGATATTGACTTTGGGGTGGAAAAAATGTCAATGAAGACTGAAAGACAATGCTTTGCATACTTGTGACAAGCAAAAAGACACTGGCTATGAGAGCAGAGGGTGGTTATTGAACCTGGCACTCATCTCACCAGAGGATTGAGATGTTAGTGCATGCTGTTAACAGACCTCCTAATCAATGATGGACAAACACCAAGAATTCTCAGCAGGGACTTTGCTCTGCTTCACAAAAAGGACCAAGCAAGGACATCCTGTGGTCTCTCTCTGAACAGAAACAAAAGATACCGCCGACATTTTAAAACACATTGATGATTAAAAAGCAAAAATGCTCCTTTGTCGTTCAAGGGACAAGTTAAATCTTTTCCCAGCTTGAGAGTACAATTAAAAACTATACAGAGGCAGAGAGTTTGTCTTGGTCTTTTTAAACCAGTCTCAAACTCAAAACTTTAATAGCACATAATTGTATAAGTGTCCTTATATGTGAATTGCCTTAATGAGTGTAATTTGGAGTGGTCCTCCTAGCATCAAGCTGCAGTGTTGTTCTTTCGACACCTGCTGCCCTTGGGAAAAACAGGAAGCCCTTTCAAGAAAAGGTCTACTAATACAGCCAATTAAACAGTCTGACAAGTTCCCATAGCAATCACCGCTGTAAGGAGATTGGGTAGCACTTAAGGCCAATCAAAGAGACAGGCAATCAGAAATTAAAAGACCATTAAGTTTTAGCCTTTACTTGGACTCATGGCCATTTGGATAGGAGAAAGATTTACCATGTCTGCCAGTGGAGTACAGTTTTTTATGGCATGTCATGAAAAATGTTTTGCTCAGGTTTGCTGCTCAATAGTCAAAGTGCTTTTTGAATCTGCATGACATGTTTGATGTACATGTCACGGGGGGAAGCTTGATTTTATTTAAGCATGCTTTTACTTTGAATTTGCTGTGTTTTTGTCTTATTTATTATTGCATGCTTTTATTTTGAAGTGTGTTTGTGTTACGTTGGTTTTACTTCCCCACCGGAGACATACCTTAATCAAGCATAAGGACTTACACCTGGCACCCAGAGAGGGGAGTGACTGTTCTTGGATAAAAAGGACACTGGAAGATACCCGGGGGACGAGGGAGGACACAGAGGGCACGAGGGAGGACACGGAGGTCACAACGGGCCGGACAGCAGGAAGCAGACAGAGAGACAGAGCAGATCATCGCACTGGAAGAGGTCTGAAGAGACACCGGAGCAAACACCGACCGTTAGCGGCTATAATTGGGAGAAGGTAAAACTTCTCCCTCCCGCGTAAGTCCCGTTTCAGACCGGTGTTTGTGTAGTGTGTAATATATAAAGTTGTGCCTTGTTAAAGGACATTGACTGGCCCTGAGTTTCCCTCGACAGGCTGCCGAAGAGCGGAGCCAGGTGAAGAGCAGGTGGTCGCCACCAGAGACCCGCGACTGCCGTTGTTGACCTCCCACTCCATCCGTGCCACATTATTTTAGCTGGGTTTTAGTTGTTTGTGTTCTTTGTTTAGTTTATTTGAAGGTAGAGCTTTTAGTTGTTTTTACTTATTTTAAAATAAATTGTGTTCAACTGTGTTCCACTGGCTGTACTCATTGTTTTAAAAATAACACTGTTTACTGCTCTCCCCCGACATAAAAGAACCTGTTTACCCTAACTTTAATTTGGTGATCCTAAGAGGTCCTAGGCCTCAGTTAAACCTAGGTGGCGTTGTCGGCACTTGTGTTTTAATTTATCCACCCTTAGCACGGCTCACATTTTGGCGTTGTCGGCAGGATCGGGTACAGAGAGCAGTGTGGTGTATTTTAAAACAGTGAATATGATGATGCCTGTATATCCTGGTGCCCCTTGGCTGCCAAAGTTTAAAGGACCAAATTGTGACCTGAAATATCATGACTGGAAGGAGCAAATACAGGGCTTACTTGGAGCGCAAAGAGCTAGCAGAGGCCAGAAAAATTGACATTGTGTTGGGTGCGTTAGCTGGGGAAGCCAAACGGCAGGTCAGTGTTTTAGAGGATGACGAAAGGGATAGAGTACGCAAAATCTTTCTGTATTTGGACTCTCTATATGGAGACAGAACCCCCGCCCCAGTGTTAAGGTCTCAGTTTTTTAGTTGTGTCCAAAGACCAGACGAGACAGTCCTCATTCATTCTAAGACTAAGAGAGCTGTATTGCAGGTTGCGGCAACATGACCCTGATGGAACTCCCCCTGACACAGTCCTGCGAGACCAGCTGCTGTTGGGGCTGCGTGAAAGTTCCCTGGCTCAGGCCCTGAAGGTCTATGCCCGCCGTAACCCTGATGAAACTTTTTCTGCACTCAGACAGGAGGCGCTGCTGCTTGATACAGAACATGGGAACCCCCCAACCGGAGGTAATCTGTGCTTCTGTGTATAAACCAAATGTGCCTCCTCCATCACAGGACACCAGCTGGAGAGAGACCCTGAAAAGAGAGATCATGGAAGACGTGAAATCTCAGATGACCGGACTGACCCAGGAACTGTTGCGAGAGATTAAACCGCTCCTTCAACCAGCTGTTATTGCACCACAGCCCCTAATACAGCCCTATAGGGAGCGACAACGATCAGTTTCCCAGACGAACACCTGGGATGAGCAAGGTAGGCCCATTTGCCGCCAATGCAGACAAGCCGGCCACATAGCTAGATTTTGTAGGAGGCCAACTACTGCTCGGCAGGCTTTAAACTAGCTTTCCCTGCTGCTGAGGTCCGAGGGGCAGGGGTTGAAAGTACAACAGAAGAAAACGGGCCCACTGAAGCATTTATTGGAAGGTGTCCAACTATAGACGTAAACATTGAAGGAGTTACACTGTCGGGGCTATTAGACACGGGGTCCCAGGTCACCTTAATGCAGCAAAGCCTCTTTGAGCAACATTTTACCCAAGCTAAGCTTGGAAAGGCTCCCATAGTTTTTAAGTTACAGGCCGCAAATGGCCTGGAGATCCCTTATACGAGCTATGCCGTATTAGATCTGGAGCTAGAGGGTGCTAAGATACCTGGAAGAGGAATTGTGATTGTGAAGGATGAACACTGTACACACCCACTCATCATTGGAATGAATGTTGTTACTGCTTGTTGGACTGTTTTTTTTAAATGTCCCAGAGGGTCTGTTCCCCCCCCACAGACGTTACAGAGACAGCGGGTTTGGAGGGATGCATTTGCTACATGCAGACACATTGAGGCTACCATGACAGAGGACGGGATGTTGGGGTACGTGCGGCCAGCCAGCCGACGGGTCATCAAAATTCCCCCAAAGAGTGAAGTACTGGTGTGGGGTCGGGCTCGGATGAGCCTGGGGGAAAAGATTACTGTGCCCTAATTGAAGCGCTGCCTGAGACTTGCAGTGTGAGGGTGGCCAGGACCCTAGCAGTGATAAGAAATGGCAGAGTCCCTGTGAGAGTTTTTAACCCACACCCCTACTGTTTGATGCTAGATCGGTACCAGAAGCTTGGCAAACTGTCCCGGGTGGATGAAGCGGATGTACATGGAGCCTGCGACCTTAACCTGTCCCTTGAAGGTGATTGTGTTGTTGGAGTGACACTGGTAAATGCTGCAGTTGACGAGGAGGACCAGAAGCTGCCGATAGGGGTGAGTGAACTCTCCAACAGGCCTGATCTGTCTGAGCAGCAACAGGAGGAGCTGCGCGCCCTGCTGCTGAAATGGCAGAAGGTGTTTGCACAGCACAATGAGGACTTCGGACGTACAGACCTGGTACAACATCGCATCCATACTGGTGATGCACCACCTATCCGAGAACGACATCGACCTCTTCCCCCTGCCATGTATAAAGAGATGAAATCCCTACTCTCAGGTATGCTGGAGCAAGGTGTCATTAAAGAGAGCTGTAGCCCATGGGCGGCACCCATAGTACTGGTGAGAAAAAAGATGGCAGTTGGAGATTCTGTGTGGATTACAGGAAGTTAAATGCAATAACTCATAAAGATGCATTTCCCCTGCCCAGGATTGAAGAAACCTTGACCAGTCTGACCAGAGCAGAATGGTTTTCTACTCTTGACTTAGCCAGTGGCTATTGGCAAGTTGAGATGGACACCCAAGACCAGGAGAAGACCGCCTTCACCACACCGCTGGGGCTGTATGAATTTGAGCGTATGCCCTTCGGCCTGTGCAATGCGCCAGCTACCTTCCAACGTCTGATGCAACAATGTTTAAATGGCCAATTGTCAGAATCCTTACTGGTTTATTTGGATGACATTATCATTTATTCACCTGACTTTTCCTCCCATCTACAGCAGCTAGATGAGGTGTTTAACAAACTGTGGCGGCATGGCTTGAAACTGCGCCTGGATAAGTGCAAACTCCTGCAGAAGGAAGTGAAATTCCTGGGCCATGTGGTGGACCAAAAGGGGTGAGTCCTGATCCAGACAAAATCTCAGCCGTAAAAGACTGGCCCATCCCCACCACTGTAAGACAGGTACGAGCCTTCCTTGGCTTAGCTGGCTATTACAGACGCTTCGTTTCTGGCTTTGCAAAGATTGCACGCCCCCTCAACCAACTGCTGACAGGCATCCCTGCTGATAAAAAGTCGCAAATCCGAAAGGTACAGTGGTCCTCAGAGTGCCAGACATCCTTTGATCACCTGAAAGCAGCTTTAACACAAACACCTGTTTTGGCATATGCTGATTACTCCCTGCCATTCCTCGTTTACACAGATGCCAGTAATCATGGTTTGGGAGCAGTCTTGGCCCAGGTCCAACAAGGGCGAGAACGAGTGATAGCCTATGCCAGTCGCAGCCTACACCCAACAGAGCGGAATGATGCAAATTATAGCTCTTTCAAACTAGAGCTCCTGGCTCTTAAGTGGGCAGTAACCGAGAAATTTAAAGACTATCTGACTGGAGCCCGATTCACGGTGTACACTGACAATAACCCTGTGGCCCACTTACAGACAGCTCGCCTGGGTGCCGTGGAACAGCGCTGGGTCGCACAGCTTGCCTCCTTCGATTATGACATCAAGTACCGCTCAGGTAAAAGTAATGTAAATGCAGATGCCCTGTCTCGGTTCCCAATTAACCCACTGACTGCAGATGCCTCATGTGAAAACCTTGAGCTGGAAACCGTTCCAGTCACGGCAGCCATTGAACTGACCCCTGAGGGAGGTGAAGAGGAGTGGACAGGCAGAGAGTGGGAGGAGGCACAAGCTGGTGATGCGGACCTTCAAATCATTAAGAGGTATGTGGAAACCCAAATGATACCGACGAGACCAGAGCGCCTGACATTGTCCCTTAGAGCCCAGAGACTGTTGCAACAAAAGCGAAAACTTCAGGTTAAAAGCAAAATACTGTGTCGTAAAATGATTGACCCGCACACACACGAAGTGTGTTTCCAGATTGTGTGTCCAGAATCTAGGAGCCAAGAAGTTTGGAAGAGGATCCATGAAGCCGCTGCCCATGCTGGTGTGGAGAGAACCCTAAACCGGATCCGTCAGCGGTTCTATTGGCCTGATATGGAGAGGGAGGTACGTCAGTTGCAGCAGGGTTGTGTTGCCTGTAACCTGCAGCGAGACAGGGTGGAGCCTAAGGCCCCCCTAAATCCATTCACAGTATCCTACCCCTTAGAAGTGGTGGGGTTGGACTTTTTGTCCTTAGGTCGGCCCACAGACACCTACCAGAACATTCTTCTTGCTACTGATCTGTTTACCCGTTTTTCTTGGGCTATTCCCACTCGAGATCAAACAGCTCAGACTACAGTAAAGGCCCTGTGGACCCATGTGATCCAACCATTTGGTTGCCCCGCCCGTTTCCATTCTGACCAGGGACCTAATTTCGAATCTGCACTTATGAAACAATTTTGTGATACCTATGGTATAACTAAAAGCCGCACAACTCCCTACCATCCCGCAGGAAATGGCAGTGCAGAGCGTTTTAATCAGACCTTGTTAAATATGCTCCGCTCTTTAGAGACGTCTAAGCAATTTCACTGGCCCGACTATCTGCCCGAACTGACACACGCCTATAATAACACCACACACAGTGCGACTGGGTATACCCCTTCCTTCCTCATGTTTGGGCGACACCTGCGACTTCCTGTTGATGTAGGATTAGGTGTAGGTCCCCAACAGATGAGGCACGATGTAGGTGGGTGGGTACAAGACCACCAGCAGAAACTGTCCTTAGCTTATAGCCTGGCTAAACAAAGAATAGAGAGTGCAGCCACCCAGAACAAGCAGCACTATGACAAGAGGGCCAAAGCGTTACCACTTTTACCGGGGGAAAGGGTGTGGGTGCGAGATAGGAACAGACGAGGGGCAGGAAAGTTGTGTACTTGGTGGGACCCAGAGCCATGGGTGGTGTTGGAGCAGGTGGGGGATACAGGGGTTGTGTACAAGATTCAGCCAGAGAAGGGTGGCAGAATACAAAATATCCATAGGAACTCACTTAAGGTGTGTACAGTACCCCCAACCGAAGTCCCGCTACCAACCACTGAGCCGGTTGTCCAGATGCAGGGACCCATTCAGCCCATGATCTACGGGTTCCTTCCAGCACCGGTAGCCATACCGCCTGTGAATGTGGAACCTGAGGGTGCCCTACGATGCTCCACCAGGGTAAACTTTGGACAAACTCCAGTCCGTTATAGAGACTCATAACATGTTGCAGGGACTGCTAACTTTAAAGTGTGGGGAGATGTCACGGGGGAAGTTTGATTTTATTTAAGCATGCTTTTACTTTGAATTTGCTGTGTTTTTGTCTTATTTATTATTGCATGCTTTTATTTTGAAGTGTGTTTGTGTTACGTTGGTTTTACTTCCCCACCGGAGACATACCTTAATCAAGCATAAGGACTTACACCTGGCACCCAGAGAGGGGAGTGACTGTTCTTGGATAAAAAGGACACTGGAAGATACCCGGGGGGACGAGGGAGGACACAGAGGGGACGAGGGAGGACACGGAGGTCACAACGGGCCGGACAGCAGGAAGCAGACAGAGAGACAGAGCAGATCATCGCACTGGAAGAGGTCTGAAGAGACACCGGAGCAAACACCGACCGTTAGCGGCTATAATTGGGAGAAGGTAAAACTTCTCCCTCCCGCGTAAGTCCCGTTTCAGACCGGTGTTTGTGTAGTGTGTAATATATAAAGTTGTGCCTTGTTAAAGGACATTGACTGGCCCTGAGTTTCCCTCGACAGGCTGCCGAAGAGCGGAGCCAGGTGAAGAGCAGGTGGTCGCCACCAGAGACCCGCGACTGCCGTTGTTGACCTCCCACTCCATCCGTGCCACATTATTTTAGCTGGGTTTTAGTTGTTTGTGTTCTTTGTTTAGTTTATTTGAAGGTAGAGCTTTTAGTTGTTTTTACTTATTTTAAAATAAATTGTGTTCAACTGTGTTCCACTGGCTGTACTCATTGTTTTAAAAATAACACTGTTTACTGCTCTCCCCCGACATAAAAGAACCTGTTTACCCTAACTTTAATTTGGTGATCCTAAGAGGTCCTAGGCCTCAGTTAAACCTAGGTGGCGTTGTCGGCACTTGTGTTTTAATTTATCCACCCTTAGCACGGCTCACATACACATATGCAACCACATACGTAGAGGGTTAGGGCTAACCCTCTAATACCAAACATAAGGCAGTCAAAGAATTTAATGAGGAACATGACTCTTTTACAATTTATGAACAAAGGAAAAAATATGGATAATAGAGCAAACAACTGTCCTCATTGAGATTCAATTGGAAGTCATATCTGATCAAAAAGACCCAATCTGACTCACCAGATGTGGCCTTTTAGCAATGTCTATTGTGTTCTGTTACCTTATACCCTCCCCTTTCATCTTCCTGCATTGCCACTTTTCAAATATCTTTCCATGAGGCAATACTTTTATTTTTCCTTGAATATTTTACACAAATTCATAATCCGTATATAATTTATAGAATAACACAAAGTATAAAAATAGGTTTGGCAATGGAAGACTGAACTGGATGTCAAGCTTGGCAGGAAACTGGAGCAGAGACGTACTGTAGTTGCAGCACTTGCAGTTCCTTATCAATTGAGTGGCAGGAAAACACATTTATAGCATATCTGCTGACATACTAGAAATGTAATTTCTATTGATTTTTATGAAATATAGTACAAATAAAGGAGCAGTGGTCACACAGAAACAACTGCTACAGAGAGATCAGCATAGAAGAAAGCTGTATGATATGAATCAGTAAATTCAACTAATTTCCTCAAAGACGATTTTATTGTTTATTGTATATGTATCCCTTGCTCCTTAAAAACCTTCTTGTAATATCAAGTACTAAAGGAAAACTGTGGCAAATTCATAGTGTCTTCTTTTGACTCGCATGCAGTCTCAGCAGAGTATCACAGTCGTCGTGATCAAGGTCAGCTCTCATCCTCCAGACCTGGTTTTCGTTGTCGGTATTCCAAGCACCTCAGAAGACGCTGGCAACAGTTTTTACTTGGCAGATACCTCCCCAACCCGATAGGGCACATGGAAGAGACGCACTCTGAATAGTCGATTCTTCCAACCTGTGGTCAGCATTCCACATGCGTCCCTCGGAGCTAAACGCTCTTCCTCTGCTCTCCTTTTAAGCCCTCTGACAGGAAGGATGCGATATTGCACCTGGCCTCTTTCATGACTCCCTCCCCCTTTCGCCTCTGCCTCGTCGTGGAACTATTCCACCACTCCACACTAATTGTTCATTCCTTCTCTCCCTCTTATTCTGCTCTGACACCTCCTCCCTGTAGAGCGCCTGCACTCACGCCTTGAAAAAAAGAGGGCAACTCGTTATTCAAACTGTTAAACAGAAGAGTTCATAAGCAAGAACAGTCCTGCACCCCAGGATACAGAAACAGTGAAACCAGCTATAAATCCGTTTTGATCTGGGCAGAGTTTCAGCAAAGCCGACCTTTCTGATGCCAGAATGATAAACACAACATCCTCCTGCTCAGCCTCAGTACGTCTGTGTTGTTTAATGAAGCCCAATCACAGGAACAACCTGGCAAAAGATCTCAATCAAACTTCATCTTCTTATCTAATGACTCCGTGTGGGACTTCAAGGTCCTGGCCTGATGCACCTCTGAGTACAGCTCCATGTCCGGCTTTTCTAATGAGCATCCTGGACCTAAATGTGAATCT